TGAAACAAAGGGGCAGTTCCCAAATAGACCCAGGCACACACAGGATGCTGCAGTCTAGACCTGACTGGGACTCCCGCGAGGGCTTCCGAGAGGAGATGGTTTCTAAGCCGAGTCACAAAGACCTAGCAGCCAGGAAAGAGGCCGAGGCAGTGGGGAGGGCAGGCATCCAGGCAGCAGGGACCTGTGCAAAGGCCTGGGCCCAGCGAGAGGCAGGAGAGGAGGGTCGCAAGATGCACTACAGCTGCAGTGGGGTACAGCGGGCACGAGCAGGAGATGCAGGGACACAGGCAGGGACACACGGCATCCTGAGGCATCTGAGGGGCCGTGGATGCCATGTGGAGCACCACTGCCCCAGATGGAGGGAGCACATGTCGCAGGGCCCAGCTGCTGCAGGCACACCCTGCTGCCTCCCACTCACAGGGGAGGAGGCCTGGACAGCCGTGCCCTGACCTGGGGGCAGGCTCTCAGCCGTGCCCTGACCTGGGCAGCACTGGCACGGCCACCTCCTGGACGAGGGAAGCAGGGAGGACTGGGCATGAGGGAGTAGTGCAGCACAGCAGGGATCGATGACACGAAGACAGTGTGGCCCGGGGTGAAGGGGCACGGACATGGGAGAGCAGGTGTACAGCAAGTTGGGTGTGAGTGGGCACAAGCCCTCCCAAAGACTGCCCAGACACCCTGAGCAATGTGCTCACTGGTGAGCTCAGGGATCTTTTCATGGCAATGAAATACATTGTGACATTTAACATAAGGGACTGCGGGGGACAGCACAGGAAGAAGTCACTTCCTAGCAAAGGGCTGCTGGGGCCGCATTTCCGGTACAGGCAGGAAGGCTATTCTCTGTGGACGGCATCAGCTGGCTGACGCTTAGGGCCCAGATAGGGGTGTTCACTAGCACATGACACTCACGGCTGTCCCCTGCTCCGTGTGGATGCAGTCAGCCAGCCAGGGATGACCTTCAGGGCTTCTGTCCCTCCCCCTACACACACCTACACATGTCGTGGTGCCAGCCTTATAGATGTGCTTGCTGAGATGACACCTGGGGTCTCCACCTCCCTAAAGCCCCTGCCCCACCTGTCACTGTGACAAGGTATGCCTATTTCTCTAGCACCTGGCCCTGGCCCTCCCTCCTGCTAGTGACTCCTCCCAGCGCCCCCTCTCCCAAGGCCTCTCGAGAAGGCTGTAGTGGCTGCAGCCCGTGGAACAGACTCTGCGCAGAGAGTGTGGTGGCTGGACCCGGGGGTGTGTATTTTCCGGTGCCTTGTCTATTGACCTTTAATTACACTGTTTGCCCAGCTTCCCAAACCATTAACTTCCACCTCACAGCGACCATTCGTCAATTAACAGAGGGCCTGCTCTGAGCTCGAGCTCCTGAGCACAATTAGGCGTGACAGTCCACAAATAAGAAAGAACTAGAGAATTAATTAAGGTCTAAGCAAATTAATTACCAGTCCCCAATCGATTCCGATGCCAGCACACATGCTCCTGGGCTCACCGTCTTTCCCAACATCTCCATGTATAAATAGAAACAGATTTCCCACATGATTGCTGTTCTAGACCAGGGGCACAGCACGGCCCTGAAACCACCTTGGCTGCAGTAAGCATCCCGGGGCTTCCCATGTTCGCACACGCACGTGTACATGCATTGGTGCACATGCGCACACACATACGCACAACCCTGGCTGAAAACCCAGGGGAGAACATGGAGGCCCTGAGTAGCCCCTGCCACCTCTGGGTCACACGCTTCAGTTTCTCAGCTACAGCTGGCGAGGGGTCCTCCAAGCAGGCTGGAAATAGCCCCAGGCTGGGCCTGGGAGGCCTGCGCTTTGGCCAGCTCAGTGTAACTCTCAGCCAGTCTATAAAATGGGGACGCACACTCTGCCTTCAGACCTCCCAGCACAGAATGAGAATGGGGGAGAAGAGAGGCCTGCTGGAGGCACGAGGGCAGCTGTGTGGACGCCTGGGAGTGCTGGGCTCTGCAAACTTGGGGAGGGCATACAGTGACGTCAAGGAGGACCCAGTGGGAAGGGGTTGGAGGGGGTCTGGTCAGAGGCCTCATTTCCCAATGTGGAGATAGAGTGCAGTGCAGGGTGGGAGCAGGGGACTTAGGTGCGTGCCCAAGTGTCCTGCATTTGTGTGTCTCAGGCCTCTCTCAGGCAGCCTGTGGGCCCAGAGAAGAGAAGTCTCCCCCAACCTCCCAGACTTCCGGCTGGAGCCCAGGAGGAGCAGGGCAGAGCAGTGGGAAGAAGCGACTGACTCCTGGGAGCTTCCTTGTGCCCCAGAGGTTGAGTTCCCCACCTGCCTAGGAAGGTGGGAGTGAGGATGAGGCCTCAACCACTGGGCACACAGGCCTCTTGGGGACAGCTCTCACCCTGAAGAGCCCCTTCTGCTCTATTCTGCACACACATCCCAACAACCAGGACTTAATTTGGTCACTCCACTTGCCTCAACCACTTCCCACCTGCACTCACAGCTTGGTGAGTCCTGTCTCTCCATGACGCCAGCAGCCCCGAGGGGCAAAGGACCCACTACCAGATAAAGTATGGCCTGAGCCAGCTTCTCGACAGCCTTTAAGGGTGGCCCAGCCTGGTCTGGCCTGGCCTGCCTTGGAAAGCAGGGGTGAACGTTGGCAGAACTTAGGCCCTGTCAGAGCCCAGGGGACTTAGAGACGCTCTGTTCCCGACCAGGGGTTCCTGGGGATAAGATGCAGGAGGGCCAAGTGCAGGGACTGGGTGGTGGCCTACGAGGACCAGGGGGCTTTTGAGCCCCTGTTTTTGAGGGGCGTTACCTATTCATCTCACAACTGTGTCAGTACTAACTAGCAGGTGCCCATTTGCAGGTGGGACAGGGATGGACATCAGAACCAGAGAGATGGAGCTGGCCTGTGGGGAGCAGAGACTGGGGCTGGTGGTGGAAGGCAGGCGGACTCCACCTGGGCCCAAGGAAGAAGCCAGGAAGGGCCTGCTTTTTTCAGGATCCTGGCGAGGTAGGACTGCCAGGGCTGTGAACCACACTGTGTGCAACCTGTGCAACAGGCTAGCGAAATGTGCGATCTCAGGACCCCCAGCAGTGGCGGGACCTGTGTGAGGGGGCAGTGAGAAGGTGGGAGGGGAATCAGGCTGGAGCCTAAAGAAGGACATGTCAGAAAATCTCAGAGCAAGAGCAGAGACCCTCCTCGTAAAGGAGTCTTGGGGAGATTAAGACCACTCCAAGGTCACACGGCGGCAGAGCAGGGCTGGGAAGCTCTTATCTGAAGCTTGGCCGAGGGCAGATTACAGCCCAGCCAGATCCAGTCCAGTGCAGCTGGGCACTGCCCCCTCGTTGTGCTGCTTCTGACCCTGCAGGCCAAAGGTGAGGAACACAGGTTGGGCAGTCTGTTTGCTCAATTAGGCCCCTTAACAAAGTCAGATCTAAAGAGTTATTCCATTAATGGCCCAGGACAGAAATAGCTGAGAGTTCATTAAAAGTGTGGAGTTGCTATAGCAATTATCTGGGTTGGCTGCAGCTTGGCAGGGTAGCTGGTTCTGGGAGTTCATTAGCCTCTGGGCCATGCAAGAGGTGGGGTGCCCAGTAACGACCTCCTACCTTCTCATGGGGGCCTTTCCTATCAATGGAATCTGGTCTGCAGCCTCGTTTGCCCCTCCCAGAGGCCTAGGCTGTAGGGAGGTGGTAGTGCCACCTGCATTTTACAGATGGGGAAGCTGAGCCTGGAGGGGAAGAACAGGGCCAGAACCACGAGCCTGGGTCTGACTCTAGCTCTTCAGCTTGAACCTCGGCACCAGGGAGGTCACAGAACCTCATGCCCTGTGTTGACACCACCCCCATCTTTGTCCTCTGGCACAGAGGGAAAACTGGTGCTATGGTTTAAGCACTTGCTTATCCTTCTCTTTTGACAACTAACTATCCACTGCCTTGTGCTGCTCTCAATGTTGCTTATTTCTTTTTAATTTTTTAAAAATTACTGCTGGGCATGGTGCACACCAGTAGTCCCAGCTACTCACAAGGCTGAGGCAGAAGGATTGCTTGAGCCCAGGAGTTTGAGGTTGCTGTGAGCTATGATGATACCACTGCATTCTAGCTTGCACAACAGAGAGAGACCCTGTCTCAAAAAATAAAATAAAATAAGAGCCAAACTGGGCTTTTTGGCATCCCCATAACCCAGACCCAGGGTATCTGTTGTGAGACCTAAGTCCAGCAAAGACTCAGCCTCTCCACATACACTTGTGCACTCAGGTGCACAGGTGCTCACAAGAGAGGCTTCTAAAACCCAGAGGGCCAGAAGACCCAAAGGCTTGAAACCTAAACTAGCAGAAGCTTCCAACCTTCTTCTGTGCCAGGAATCCTCTGACAGTCTGGTAAGGCCTATGCACCCCTCTCAGGATAATGTTTCTAAATATATAAAACAATATACATAGGATCACAAAGGGATTATATTGAAATAAGTTATGAAAATATTTTTAAAATTGTGATATAGTAATAGACATGCTTTTAAACTAATGAATTGAAAAGCAAGATCTACCAGTTGACATATTAAATATGACTTAGTGTTGAACGTAAAGGATATTTTAAGATCTTTGTAACGACTTAATGTGACACAAAAATATCTTTGATTTCTATTGGTGACAAAGTCACAGGTCTTACTTCTTACTGTGGTTTGCTGCCTATATTCATAATGGAGAGAAATGTTAAATTGCAGTTAGAGGTTACTGTAAATATTTTCCCCAACCAAGTTCACGGGGTCCACTGCATTCTGTTTACTGACCCTTGGGGGCCTGGGACCCCAGGTTAAGAATCCGTGTGTTGAAGCAGAATCTCAGGCACGGAGCTGTCAGTGAGGCCCCGTGATCCTGTCCTCTAGCTACGTGTTTTGCTCCAGTTCCCCCAGCTGGGTGTCCCCTGGGCATTATGAGAGGTGTGGAAGAACCATCCAGCCCCCTGGGAGCCCTGCAGTCCCCACCCGTGCACAGCACATGAGCGTCTACGCACTGTGCAGGTCTTACCTACAGCAGGGAACGGCACAAATCTCTGGACCAAAAGGCGGGTGGCTGGAGTGAACTTGTTGGCTTTCTGAACCAGGACATTAAGGCCCACCTTGGAAAGAAAAAGAAAAAAAAAAAACAGAAAATGTGCATGGTGCTGCAGTGGCTTGTGGGAGGAAGCGGGTAGAACTGGAGGGAGAGCAGAGAGAGAGGGGCATCGCCTTTCCCCTGCAGTGGCACCCCAGACCCCTGGTCCCCAGCGTCACCTCATAGTGCAGAGCTCCTGTGTGGCTATCTAAAGTACCACTGCCCAGGCCTCCCAGGTAACTGCCCCATGAGAAAGAGGGAGAGAGGGTAAAGCATCGGACACACACACTCATACACGTTCATGCTCACACACATACACATTCACACGCATACAGTCATGCTCACACATATACACACTCACACACATACATTTACACTCACACACATGTTCACACATTTACACTCACACAGATACATGCTCATACATATTCACACTGCCACATATATGTTGTACACAATCACACATACACTCACTCATTGATGCTCACACATATATGCACTCACACATACACATTCACACTCACACACATATACACTCACATGCACATTTACACACATTCACACCCACACACATACACAGTCACATATATACATTCACATATACATGCTCTCACACATTCGCACTCACACATATACACATGCATACTCATACACATATACACAGTCATGCACATATGCACACACTAACACACACACTCATATACACATTCATACACATATTCACACTCACACATATATACACACACACACTCTCACACACGCACGAACACACTCAGCGGAAGGGACAGGGGTGGAACGGTGCAGTGGTAGGGCTAGAACGCATACTCTGCACATAAATGAAGCATAGGAACCCTCATCCCCACCCTGGCCTATCAGTACCGCCTTCCTGAGACCATGAGGGCTCAGGAGGAGACCCGCACACCTGCCCTCAGGCTGCCGGGCCAAGCAGAGTAAGTAGCTCAGAGCAGGACAGCAGGTGTGATGGACACCCCAGATTCACTGCACCTGCCTTTGCTCCTCTCACCCGGCCCAGGACACCAGGCACCCCACCCAGCCCCTGCCGGGGCCTCCTCACTCCGTCCATCCCTCGCCCATGCTGTCCTCATCTTTAGAGAGCGCAGGTCTGCCCACACCCACCACCGGCTCCTCCCACGACCTGCGTGAGAAGATGCCATCCCCCTCTCGCAGCTGTCCGGCCATCATAACCCCACCTCCCCACTCCCCCGACACCCCACATTTAACCCCACGGGTCCAGTGTGCTGGTCATCAGTCGCTACATGAGCCTTCCAGCCATGGAGCCTTCGCAGCACTGGTCCTAGGCCTGGGGTGTCCCTCCTCCACCTGGCCCACACCTGTTCTTTCAGTTCTGCCTCCAGTGTCGATGACTAGCAGTGGGACTTAGGCAGGTAAGTCATTTAACCTTTCTTGGCCTCAGTGTCCTTGTCTGTAAAAAGGAATAGTAGCATCTATAATATCCCAGGGCTATTATAAGAATTGTATGCAAAGTGTTGGGCATGAGCTTGGCACATAAAAGGCCTCAATGAATGAAGCAACATAATAACGATGTCAGTGACTGGGATGGAGGAATCGCGCGTTTTCATCTTTGTATGTCCACTGCTAGGGCTGTGCACACCGGCACACAGCACATGCTCAATAACCTGGTGACTGAGTAAGAAACACAGAAACCAACAAATGCCTGCGTGGAGAGATCAGTGAAGGTGGGGAGATGGAGTTCTTGGAGGAGGTTAGGCTAGGTAGGAGGCAAGGTTTCTGGTGGGGAAACAGCATGGGCACAGGCATGGAGAGAGAAAAGACAAGATGCATGTGGCCAGACCAGGGTTGGGGTGTAGAGGCCTCTGCTCTCCCAGACTGAAGCCAGAGCTGGCCCCTACCCTGTGGATCTTTCCTGGGAAGCAGAGGTGGCCAGGGGCAGCCTGCTCTCAGTTCTGGCACACCTGGTGGCTCAGCAGGCCACACTGCATCCTCAGGCCTGGCTCTGGCTGCAGCCTTCTGGGCGGCTGGGGAAGACACAGAGCCTTGGGAAGGCCCCCAGGGCTGCTAGGTGTCTGCAGCAGTCACGGCAGTCACTGCACAGCAGGAATGGCCCAGCCCAGGCTGTAGCCGTGAGACCTAGGAAGACAGGCAGCGACAACCTGCCAGCCCCCGGGCACTCTGGCGCCCTGCAGAGCCAGAGTGCTGCCTGGCAAAAGCAGCTGGGGCCCTCAGTGCCTGGCCTCCACTTCATGTCCCAGGCTGATACTCAGAGCCCAATCCTTGTCCTCCCTGCTCGCTCGAGGGCAGGCTGGGAGGCAGGGAGACTCGTGGCAGAGTGGACACGCCACAGTGGTACGGTGGGGCAGGAATGGGGAGCTGCCAGCCCACACTGGGCCCTAATCCCCCTGCCACATGGGTGGAATTGTCAAGCCCAGGTCTCCTCAGCTCTCAGCAGTGATGATGCAGAAATAGCCCCCACCCCCAACCCCAAAAGAAGCACAGGGAGGAAAAGCACGGGAGGAGGTAGACGGCTTTAGTTATGAAGAGGAGAGGGGCTCGGGAGAAGTCGGTGAGTGCCTCCTCCGTGCCGGCCACTCAGCACATGTTCATGTGAACTATCTTAATGAAATCGCTACTACAAGGCTTTTGGAGAGGCCCTTTTTATGGATAAGAGACAGGTTCAGAGAGGTTAAGTAACTTTGCCCAAGGCCAGACAGCTGCTTTGAGTCAGGTAAAGCTGGGATTTGAACCTAGGTCCTGATAGTTCCAAAGCTTTGCCCTTAACCGCTATGCTACTCACTTTCCAGTGTCTTCCATCTCAAGGAGTGATGCTTTCATGCCATTTAATGGCACATCTGCATAGCAAGAGCCTCCCTGGCAAAGGCCAGCTTGGGGGCTTCCAGAGGAGTGGAACAGAGAAGGCGGCTCCCGTCAGGGAAGACAGGGCCCTTGAGCCATCCCTGGCCCCGCAGCTGGAAGTCAGGAGGTCTGGGTTCAAAACCCCACACGTTCATTTGGGAAGATGCAGGAAGTGCTGGCCGAGGGGGAGCAGGAGCCATTCAAGGAAGGGAGCAGGGAGACTGGGACCCCTCCCCATGGCAGCCTCTTGCGGGTGGGCAGGGCTGGCGTGCAGCGGCAGGGCAAGGAGTAGTGGCCATCAGTTGTGCAAACACTCAGACTTGTTCCCCAGCCCCTGTGAAGCCTTTTCCTCCCTGGCTAGGACTGGCACAGTCCAGAGTGGGTCACCCATCCCATCTACCCAACTGCAGGCGGGAGCCCAGGGTAGGGAGGAAGAAAGAAGAGAAAAAAAGAGTGGCCTAGTCCCAGGTCTCTCTGGCCTCCTCTTCCCTGAAGCCCACCAGGGTCTCCCCAGCCTGGATGGGTGACATTTAATGAGGCACATGTATGTTTCTCAAAGCATGGCCAACATACCCAAGCCCACGGAAGGGGCCAGGAACCAGCAAAGTGGGGAGAAAACCTGGTCACATGTGTAGCTGTGAGCTCATGAGGAATCAGTGAGGTCACCCTGCCCACACACCGGTGATGGGCCTCGGGGCAGAGAGGGCATGGACACAGAGGAGGCAAGTGGCCACTTACCCTGGCCCCTCGTCGGGCCCCCAGCCCAGGCCTTACTGCCCCAGTGCCTAGAACAGCCACAGCCTGGAAGCAACCCAGAGTGGGCTGCAGACCGGGGGTTGGGAGCCCGTCTGTTCTAGTTCCTCAGGGGCCCTTTGGCCTGGAACATTTGGTGGAGCCCATTAAAATTAAAAAGCCAAGTGGCTGGTGGCTCTGAATGCCAGCTCGTTTTCCCTGGCATGGTGGGTCCTGTTTAAGGGAACCAGCTGGCATTAATGGCACACAACTCATCACGAACAGCAGCTAGCGATCAGAAAAATCGGAGCTAATAATCGGGTTTGGGAAAGATAATGAGATATGGAACAATCGCTGCTGAGGGTCCCCCAGGGTCTGTTTTAACAGCCTCCAAATAAGCTACAAAATAGAAATTAACCAAACAGGAGCTCCATTTTGGCAGAGGGGGAAAACAAACAGGGTGTGGATTTTGCACAAGAATTTCTTGCACGGCCAGCCACAGGGGTCCCGGGAGAGGCACAACCCTGGGCTCCGTGGGCATCAGCGTTGGCCCGAGGGAGGCCATGGGCCTTCTCTGACCACTCCTTTCCAGGCTCTGGCTACCAGGCTAGTGAATTTACCACGAGCAGCTGACAAGAGGCCAGAGGAAGAGGAGGGAAGGCCAGCTTCCTGATAGTCCCCCAAGACAGGAAAGGGCTGACCAGCACCAAGAACTGAGCCTGGGTGGAAGCTCCATGACACAAAACCTTTAGTGTCATGAGCTATGTGACTCATGGCTGCATCCTTAAGGACAAAGGGCTCTCCAGGCCACTAGAAGCCTAATTTCTTCAAGGCCAGCAAGGAGCCACTGGCTGGGTCTGGAGCAATGCCTGCACTCCTCTCCCACCCGGCTGCACTTCCCACTCTAGCCTGCATGTCCCACCCTGGCAGATGCCTCTGTTTCCACGGGCTCCGGACACTCCACCTTCACACATCCAAAACAAAGGTTGTTGCCTACCTCCTCACCCACACCGCTCCTCCTCACCTACTCCCAGCTCAGCTCCTCATGCCAGAGACCTCAGAGCCTTCCTGGGCAGGGGCCTCTCCCAGCCCACATCTAACCATCGCTCGTGGTTCTAGCTCCTGGATATCTTGAATGCCGCTCTTCTCACCCTCTGCTCCCACCACTTAGCACACGTCACCTCTCTCTGGATGACTACCCACTCCTAACTGGGCCCCTGCTTCCACTCTTATGCCCACCAACCTACTCTCTATAGCAGCCAAAGTGGGCTTCTGAAAATGCATAGCCACTGTGGGAGGCTGAGATGGGAGGACTTCTTGAGGCCAGCAGTTCAAGATCAGCCTGGGAAATACAGTGAGATTCCCCCGACCCCCATTTCTACCAAAAAATAAAAACATCAGCCGGGCGTGGTGGTGCATGCCTGTAGTCCCAGCTACTTG